ATAGCGGACGTACTGATGCATAGATGGGATGACTCCTATTTTCAGGGGTCTTTTCTTCTTCAGGAATTATTATTTATAGCTTCTTCTTCAGAGGCTTTCATTTTTCTGAGGTGTTGGAGGCACTCATACAAAGGCGAGGTGAAGCCTCCATACTTAGAAAAATTATAGTTGTAAAGTGATCTTATGCTTCATGGATGAAGTCTTATAATTCTCCAAATATGACTCCTTCTTTAGGGGTTATTCCTTTGATAACCTCTTCAGGGGCTTCCCTTTTTCAGTAGTTCTTTTATTCATGACATTTTCAAAGATCCTTATATTTTGACTTTTATTTCGATCATACCCTTGATAAATTGCATCCAAAGTATTTTGCATTGTTTTGCTTCAATTTGGGAATTTTTACTTATCACATGTGGAGGCACTTATGCATAGGTCGAAAGAGGCGTTTCTTGGCGGAACCACTGTTGAATAGGAAAATATGAGGCCTTTACACTTGAAAAGATCATGGTTGTAGAGTTGGAATATTCCAATAAGAATGAAGTCTCATAAAATAGTTGAAGCATTTGTATAGAGACGAAGTCTCGTGTTTCAGGGATGAGGCCTCATAATTCATCAAGTATGACCCATTTTTTAGGGGTCCTTCGTTCTCAAGGACCTTTCTTTTACAGGGATTATGCTTATTCAATTATATTTGAAGAAGTTGTTGCATAAGGGTGACTTTGGTCCAAATGACCCCTTCTTCAGGGACTTTTCTTTATCTTGGGTGTCTATCTTTATCACTAGCACTTACTGTAGGTGGATACGTCTTTTATTTGAGTGGATTATATCCTAAAATACTTATTTTCCTAGGAGTGAACACTCAAGATGTTGACTTGAGGAATCTTCTGTGTTTGGGGCTTCTACTTGCTCTTCATTCAAGAACAAAACCTTTTTCAAGAGTGAGGAATTTTCATTGCTTGAATTCATGGTGAGGAGGCGCATCTTTTCTTCAAAGAGGGGCACTTCTAAGTGGATTTTAGACTCAAAATACTCATTTTTCGAGAAGTATTGCATGTCCATGAATTGTGTTGAGCTTGGAATTTTCTTTACCTTCGGGGGCTTCCACTTATTCTTTCTTCAAGAACAAATCATTTTTTGAGGGAAAAACCTAGGCACTCTTTGTATGCTTTTTTTCACTGAATGTTTGTGGTTATAGTGTGGTATCCTACAGTTTGCATCAATCTGTTGACACCAAAAATTGTACATCCAATGTGACCAACAGATCTAAAGGCCTTTCACATTCACACAAGCCTAATTCCTCATACTTGGACAAACCGTTAGTCATATGTAGCTTCCTCAGGTGGGGGTGGAGTTAGTAACATGCATTTTGAGTATGGGAGAGCTTTAAAAGTGAGCATCCAACATAAAAATGGGGCCCACTTTGCGAATTAATGAATAAAACATTGATATGACAAAGTTATAGTTTGAGAGTCTAAACTTGCATTAACATCAAAATGATACTAAGTGTGAGTTATGATAGTAGAAGAGAATAAGTAAAAGTCGTTGGATGAAGAGACACATGGCCTTATCCTAGTGGTTGGGGCCTCTTGTCATAGGTAGCAATCAATCTTTTATAGGCTATGCTGCATTCAATGTTGTGACAGCTTGGCAGCCTTAGGCCTAACATGTAAGACTAGTCTTAACTTGTTTGATTGAGTAGAGCTGCCTATTTACTAAGTTATCACATCATCCACTTGATACAATATATTGTATGAAAATCTTTTCAAACCGAGCCCTTAGGTTGCTTAGGTGCATTTAATGATTTTTTCAGTTTACAAACATTAGAGCTTAACATATTTGCTCAATGGCCCATGATCACCGTACAATAAATTATTTCCAAAAATTCAAGTGCTGTTAAATAGACGCTATATCTTCACTCGAATTTTAATTCCATCTCTCACTCCTAACTTTGTAGAATTGACTTGAATTAAATGTTGATGTAGCCATCAGTTACTAAGCCTATATTTGACAATCATTATTTTCAACTATTTTTTCAACATACTGATTTTCAACTAATATTCGTACAATAAAATACTCTGCACGTAAAATTAAAACTTTTCCTACTTTTTAACTACACATTTTCCAAAAAATTACTATTCAAAACATTGTTTTGACCAAATAATGACCATCAAACGAGGGCTAAGGCACATTCAATGTGGATATTATTGTGATCCAAACACTTTAGATTGTGGTGATTCTGTTAGTCAGTTTTTGCGCTAATACAATCATCAACTTTGTTTTTAAATCCAATCCACAATATAAAATCTACGAAAACCAAAGTTCATTTTTTACTCCTTGAACATGAAATATGTTTAGCCAATATTTGACAACCATTATTTAGAAAAAACAATGATTGAATACTGATTTTTAGGGAATATGTGGTTAAAAGTTAGGGAAATATTTTAAGTTTATATGCAAAATATTTTATTGTGTGAATGTATGGTTGAAAACGAGTATATAAAAAAAATTTCAAATAATGATTGTCAAATATAAGCTTAATAATATCTTTATACTTTAAACACATAAAGAAATGATTTTTGGGAAAAATATAATAATTCAATTGACACAAGTTGAATTATGAAGCCTCGTTTAAAACTTAGGCCCCGTTCGATAGCACACATATTTCATGGAAAATGAAAATTCCAAATTTTGTAGTGTTTGATAGGAAAAATTTTCAGGAAAATTTTTTTTCCAACTTTCCAAACTTTTCACATTTTTGAGAAAAATAAATTCTTGATATTTT